CCCCCCCCCCCCCCCCCGGTCATCTTAAGTAATAAATAATACTAATAACAGCAATATTCACAAGTGAAGGGTAGGAATTAAGTTAAAACAATATCCCAGTCCACGAAACATACATTTTTGTATATTAGAAACAACTTTAATGAACTATATCAAATATACAAAAACGAGAATAAGTTAGGAGGTCTATAATGACCTTCCAATTGGTAAAAACAGAAGTCCAAGAGTAACTTCTCTAATACAAGCTCCACGTCAAAAACTTTCCACGGTATCAAGGGATGATTGAAAACAGTGATCATATGGTAAAAAGTAAGCACTGCAATAAATTTTTCTAAATATATTGTTGCAAGAAACATCCTTATGATAAAAGCTTTTTACAGTACAAAATTTCTCCCGTTGAAACTACTACAAAAATTTATGTTAAGAAGAATTCCTAGTTGAAGAGTCCAGATCCTTCCCTAACTCACCCAAATTTTGTGTTGATATCTGAAAAGAGCACTGAACGATCAAATGTTGTAGGGCATATGATAGTGATAGCACAAAGCAATAGATATTTTATTTCCACAGACGTCACTAACCAATGGAGGCTTGAAAGGTTTGATCAAATTTTGAATTTCAGAACAGATTACAAAAAAGCTCAAAAGAAAAGCAATAGTAAGCACCATTGAAAGTCACTCACGATAACGGATCCGAGAGAACACTTCTTAATGAGGGCTCCTTATTTTGATCATTTCGAGCTATCTGTACATTAAGAAGAATGTATTAATAAAATGTAAATGCTGTCATAATGCAAAATATAAAATTCAATAATAAAGTGCCACTAAGTACGTTGGCTTAACTAGGCTCAAACATCACGGTAAAAAATTGAAATTAATTTTTTAAAATATCATATTAATCAATATATTTAGCTAATATAATGGAAATTAATTCTTAAAAATACCATAATTCAACCACTATTCGTTCTCCTGTTTGACTCTTGCTAGTGAATTCTACATCATCTCGCAGTAAATATTAAAGGATATTTGGGTAGGATCCAAAATTAGAATATACTTAAGTGTAAATGTTGATAGCATTAAGGTGCGAATCACTTAGATTTCCAACTTATAAGAACTTATGAAGAAAAAACCGAACCGGACTAAAGCACCAGCAAGCACAAAACAAAAACCACATGGAGAAAAGAATCAACTAAGTGAATTAAATATCAGTGAAGAAAAAAGAAGCAAAACAGTGTTAAAATATGCACCAAAGTTTTTCATACTATGAATCTTAACCATGGATTGTCATGACAAGAAATCCAAAGTTGAACAGGGTTTCTACAAAAAATCAGATTATAAGACTTACACAATTGTTATCCTTGTCCAGATGAGTACATAATACATCTTCCTCAGCGGAAAGAACGTCCATGAATTGGCTAACAGAGACTGGACCATATCTTTGAGGAATAACATGACCAGCTGCTGCAATGGGAGAACAGTCTAATATGGCATTGGTTTGTGGCATGAGTCTAAATGCAAGGGAAGTCCTACAACCACAATGCTGAATAAAGTAATTCAATCCAAGCAACAATTAAAAGGGTATGCTCATACAGCATAGATATACCACAAGAAAGAGAGAGAGAGTTTATATAAAGTTACATACCTCCCACCACAATTTGATCCAGAGGAATGATCAGGAGCAGATTTATATGATGCAGCAGGACGAAGGCCAGCTGTAGCATGGCTGAGTGCCTTGCCAGTAAGCAGTAACAGATCCCCAGGAGCCAACACAGCATCTGCTAGGTACCAGCGACCATTGGGATCACAAACCTACCAATGAGAAAAGTAACCCGAATAGGTCATTACAAAAGTTCCAGACAATACCATAAAACTTTAATGCACTAAGTTTTCAGTGTTGGAAACTATATATGAACTATCAATATCTAAATGAGACCAGTTATCAAGGTCATTGAAGTACACCTGTAAACCAGGATTGTCTGAGGAAATCAATGTCAATAAACCCTTCTCAACTTCAACATTCATTGCTGACTTTCCTCCCCCACCATAACCCTTGCAGTTGTGCAAAGAGCTATTATGCAGGTGCATTGCAACAAGCACTGATGAGGATACCTCAGTAGCAGGAAGTGGAGAATCATCAAGCAAATTATTGAAAACACTGCAGAGTATTTATTTGCATGGTACATAAGTTCAACATAGTTAACCAAAAGAAAAATTGAATATTCACAGCATTCTTACTCGCTTCTCAAACGAAGATGCCTGGCTATTGCACATAAAGCAGCCCGAGCTGCTTTACCCATACATCTAAAAATATCAGCCATACATGGAGGACAAGACTCCCAATCTTCCACAGCTCTGCAATAAAAATAGCTCAAAATTATAATTTAGCATACATAAGAATAACTGACTTATCCATCACAAAAGCGTTAGGCCTCCATCACATAACTTGCACCACAAGCAACACAAAAAGAAACAAAGCAGAACAACGACGAAGCTCTCCTAGGGCCTCCCCTTTATATACATCCTTGTTACAGTAAAAGCACTATTCTTCGATTCTCAAAGTTTGACTAAGGATCGTCATACTAAGAAAGCATCCTAGGCACCACAGGTTTGCCAGTACTCACCTCATGACAATATGCTCACATCAACTACACAACAATACCTACTTTGGTTGCATCTGGATTCCCTTTTGTACTTTCACACACACACACACACACAAAAAAAAAAAAAAAAAAAAAAAAAAAAAAAAAAAAAAAAAAAAAAAAAAAAAAAAAAAAAAAAAAAAAAAAAAAAAAAAAAAA